ACCCAAAAAAAAAAAAAAAAAAAAATCAAAAGATTAGCTGAGCATGGTGGCATATGCCTGTTGTCCCAGCTATTTGGGAGGCTGAGGCAGGAAGATCACTTGAGACCAAGAGGTTGAGGCTGCAGTGAGGTATGATGCACTCTAGCCTAGACAACAGAGCAAGACCTTGTCTCAAAAATAAATAAATAACTCCAGGAGAAACACTGGTTCTGGGGTCCCTGGAGGAAGACAAGAAGAATTACAAATACTCATCCCAGTTGTCACTTCCTCACTTGATTTTTTGGTTTTAGGTGGACAGAAGGAAGGCTTCAGGACCACCTGCGTTGGTCTCACTTGAAACAGAGTTAGGATGTGGAAGGCGAAGAGAGAACGCAGGCACCAGGAATGCTAAGAACCTTTAAGCAGGGGGATGGAGGGGAGCTGGTGCCATCTTGGAGGCAGCCTGCCCAGGAGCGGCTGAAGGATAGGGGGAGGGGTGGTGTCACACTCTGTTCACACTCCTGTGAGTGACGGAACAGGTGGCAAAAGGTGCTCGCAGAGCAAGGATGTGCTCAGACTCTGGGAATAGGATCAAGTAGGAGAATTCGGCCTCACACTGCTGGGCTGGCCCGCCCTTCAGTTCTACCATAAACCAGAGGGCACCGCCAGGGCTTGAATCTCATCCCAGGTCAGGTCTAGCGCTTCTGGGTGCCAAAATCAACAGGCTCATCCAGAGCCTTCACAGCCAAACACACAACTGCACGAGCCAATCAGTTACTTCTCGTTGCACACTAGACGTCAGATTTGTTCTTAATTTGAAGCATTCGATTTTGTTTTTAATTTGAAAGGAACTTAAACATTGTGGTTTGCCAGGCCCACCTGCATGAGCCTACAGTCCCAGGTACTCAGGAGGCTAAGGCAGGAGTATCACTTGAGCTCAAGAGTTCAAAGCCAGGCCAGGCTCAGTGGCTTAGCCTGTAATCCCAGCACTCTGGGAGGCCAAGGCGAGTGGATTGCCTGAGCCCGCAGGTTCGAGACCAGCCCGAGCAAACTGGCGAGACCTCGTCTCTACAATAAATAAATGCAGGGCTCGGTGGCTCAGCCTGTAATCCCGCACATTGGGAGACTGAGGTGAGTGGATTGCCTGAGCCCGCGGGTTTGAGACCCGCCTGGGCAAGTGAGACCTCATCTCTACAATAAAATAAAAAATTAGCCGGGCGTGGTAGCGCGCGCCTGTAATACAGGCTACTCGGAAGGCTGAGGCAGAAGGATTGCCAGAGCCCAGCAGGTCGAGGCTGCGGTGGCCGGAGCGGCCACTGCACTCCAGTCTGGGCGGCAGAGTGAGACTCCAACTCAAAAAAAAAAAAAAAATAGCATTTTATCAATGTGGATTTGTAGTATTTAAAAATATTACAAGCCGGGCTCGGTGGTTCAGCCTGTAATCCTGTGCCTTTGGGAGGCTGAGGTGAGTGGA